TGCCAGAATGGGGGGTGGAACCGCATGCGGGCGCAGCCACTGGGGCCTTCGGTGGAGCTCCCTATGGGGCCACGAAACGTGTGAGGGTGTGCCAGAATGGGGGGTGGAACCGCATGCGGGCGCAGCCACTGGGGCCTTCGGTGGAGCTCCCTATGGGGCCACGAAACGTGTGAGGGGTGTGCCAGAATGGGGGGTGGAACCGCATGCGGGCGCAGCCACTGGGGCCTTCGGTGGAGCTCCCTATGGGGCCACGAAACGTGTGAGGGGTGTGCCAGAATGGGGGGTGGAACCGCATGCGGGCGCAGCCGCTGGGGCCTTCGGTGGAGCTCCCTATGGGGCCACGATGCGTGTGAGGGGTGTGCCAGAATGGTGGGTGGAACAGCATGCGGGCGCAGCCACTGGGGCCTTCGGTGGAGCTCCCTATGGGGCCACGAAACGTGTGAGGGTATGCCGAATTGGGTGTGGCTGACGTATGCGGGCGGCAGCACTGGGGCCTTCGGTGGAGCTCCCTATGGGGCCACGAAAGCGTGTGAGGGGTGAGAAACAACATGAATACGATAAAAAAAAAAAGGGTGTGCCTAGAATGGGCGCTCGACCGCAATGCGGGCGCAGCCCTGAGGCCTTCGGTGGAGCTCCCTATGGGGCCAAGAAGCGTGTGGAGGGGTGGTTGGCCCCAGTGGGGTAGAACGCATGCGGGCGCAGCCACTGAGGCCTTCGGTGGAGCTCCCTATGGGGCCACGAAACGTGTGAGGGGTGTGCCAGAATGGTGTGTGGAACCGCATGCGGGCGCAGCCACTGGGGCCTTCGGTGGAGTTCCCTAGGGGGCCAGAATGGGTGTGGGAGGGGGAGGAGGGGGGAGGAAGGGGAGGAGGAGGAAGGAGGGAGGAGGAGGAAGAAGGAAGCAGGAAGGAGGAAGGAGGAAGGAACGCGGGGACCGTCTCTTCAACACGAGGACCCAACATCACAGGTTGGTTTGGAAAAACAAAGGAAACCACATGTTTTGCTTCTTTTACTTTTTCCACCAACCATCCTGTGGTGTTGGGTCCTCGTTTTGAAGAAACGGTTCCCGCGCTCTCCTCCTCTCCTCCTACTCCCTCTCCTTCCTACCGTCCGCATGCGTCCCGCACACCCAGTACAACGTTTCGTGGCCCTCCTCCTCCTCTCCTCCCTGCGTTTCACCCACCCAGTGCAGCGCTTCGTGGCCCCATAGGGAGCCCCACCGAAGGTCCCAGTGCTACCGTCCGCATGCGTCCCGCACACCCAGTACAGCGTTTCGTGGCTCCAAAAAACCAAACGGAAGGTCCCAGCGCTACCGTCCGCATGCGTCCCGCACACCCAGTACAGCGTTTCGTGGCCCTCCTCCCCCTCCGTTCTGCGTTTCACCCACCCAGTACAACGCTTCGTGGCCACATAGGGAGCCCCACCGAAGGTCCCAGTGCTACCGTCCGCATGCGTCCCGCACACCCAGTATAGCGCTTCGTGGCCCTCCTCCCCCTCCGTTCTGCGTTTCACCCACCCAGTACAGCGCTTTGTGGCCACATAGGGAGCCCCACCGAAGGTCCCAGTGCTACCGTCCGCATGCATCCCGCACATCCAGCACAGCGTTTCGTGGCCCCATGGGGAGCCCCACCGAAGGTCCCAGTGCTACCGTCCGCATGCGTCCCGCACACCCAGTACAGCGTTTCGTGGCCCCATAGGGAGCCCAACCGAAGGTCCCAGTGCTACCGTCCGCATGCGTCCCGCACACCCAGTACAGCGTTTCGTGGCCCTCCTCCCCCTCCGTTCTGCGTTTCACCCACCCAGTGCAACGTTTCGTGGCTAGCCCCATAGGGAGCCCCACCGAAGGTCCCAGTGCTACCGTCCGCATGCGTGCCGCACACCCAGTACAACGTTTCGTGGCCCCATAGGGAGCCCCACCGAAGGTTCCAGCGCCACCGTCCGCATGCGTCCCGCACACCCAATACAGCGTTTCGTGGCCCCGTAGGGAGCTCCACCGAAGGCCCCAGTGCCCCCGTCCCCATGCGTCCCGGAAGTCCAATTTGGCATTTTCGCTCACCCAGTGCAGCGTTTCGTGGCCCCATAGCTCCACCCAAGGCTCCAGTGCCACCGTCCGCATGCGTCCGGGAAATGTAATTTGGCATTTTCACCCGCGCAGTGCAGCGCTTCGGGGCCCCATAAGGGGGCTCCACCGAAGCCCCCAGTGGGACCGTCCGCATGCGCCCCGGAAGCCCAATTTGGCATTTTCTTTCACTCAGTAAAGCACTTCGTGGCCCCATAGGGAGCTCCACCGAAGCCCTCAGTGGGACCGTCAGCGTGCGTCCCGGAACCCAATGCGGCACACCACCCACACAGTACAGCGTTCCCCCCCGCCCAGTGCAGCGCTTCGTGGCCCCATAGGGAGCTTCACCGAAGCAGCTATTCACAATTACGGTACCCACAACTGCATATGGTTGGGACCTTCGCCAGCTTTTGTTTGCTTCTAAGTTTCTTGTTTGCAGACATGATAGATATATGTATGTATGTATGTATGTATTTATGTATGCATGCATGTATGTGTGTATGCATGCATGTATGTATGCATGCATGTGTGTATGTATGTATGTATGTATGTATGTATGTATGTATGTATGTATGAATAATGTATGTATGTATGTATGTATGTATGTATGTATGTATGTATGTATGTATGTATGTATGTATGTATGTATGTATGTATGTATGTATGTATGTATGTATGTATGTATGTATGTATGTATGTATGTATGTATGTATGTATGTAAGTATGTATGTATGTATGTATGTATGTATGTATGTATGTATGTATGTATGTATGTATGTATGTATGTATGTATGTATGTATGTATGTATGTATGTATGTATGTATGTATGTATGTATGTATGTATGTATGTATGTATGTATGTATGTGTGTATGTGTGTGTATGTGTGTATGTATGTATGCATATATGTATGCATGTTTGTATGCATATATATAATATTAGAGCGACTAGTTTGACACTAGTTTGTGGGTAGTTTGCAGAAGTAGTTTGGAACATAGATGTAGGATAGTTCAGATAGTTTGGGGCGGGCCTTAAAGTCGGGTGTATTGCAGCATCGTTGATGCATCTTGGATTTACTCTGGTACTCCTCTCCCTCCTCATCATCGGCCTCCCCCTAGCCCTCCCTCTGCGTCCCCTCCCCCCTCCCCGCCCTCGACCTCCATTCCTGCCCCGCCTCATTCTCCTCATCGACCTTGCTGGCGTCCCCCTCCTGAATCTCACCCTCTTCATCCTCTCCCCTCCTCCCTTGGGCCCTCTTCTCCTGCCCCCCCCCCTCCCCGCGCTCAAGTATCCAGCCCGAACCCCCCGTCTCTATCCCGTCCCCCCTCTCAGCAGTTCTAGCATCTGAGTGCTACTCCTCCCCTTCCCCTGAAGTTGTCCACAAGATCTCCAGCGCCCTCCGCGTGCTGTTTGTTCTACACACAAGATTTCAAACATTGTATCTTCTTGTGGCTTGTGAAAATCCAAATGTTTCTGGTGCTTCAAAGTGGTGCTCCCGCTGAAAGCGTGGGCCCCATTTTCGGATGGGCGCGTTGCTCCCGTTGTTCAGAGCAGAGCTGTCGCCCAAGCCTGGACTTCTTTTCTGGATCCGAGTCTTGCTTCATTGTGCCCCCCCCATCATTTCCGCTCGTCCACCTTCCCGTGGTCCTCCTGTTCATCTTGCTCCTTCCCCTCCAGTTCCTGCTGCTGGTGTTCGTCTCGTCCCAGCGAGGGCCACTCTTTTGAAACCGAATTTTTAATCGAGGTTGTCGCCCCCCTATTTCCCCTATCCACCTTCCCCTGGTCCTCCTTCCCCTCCCGATCCTTCCGCTTTGGTTCCTGATGCTGTTGATCGTCCTCATCCTTTCCTCCTGCTCATCCCCCTGCTCACCCGCCACCTCCTCCTCCTGTGCACGCAACTCCCCCTTTTTTATCGGTTGCGCATATCATGAAGTGGTCTTTTCGACTGAGCCTCAGGTCGGCCACGACACGCGTCTGCGGATGGAGAGCAATCGGCGCCATGGGAAGGAATTATGGGGGGGTCAGGATGTCAGATGAGGCGCGAGCACACCTAGCTTAGCTCTTCTCCTCTCTCCTCCTGCCTGTGGCGGCGCGCAGAAGGGGTGCATGGGGGAGTGGGGAGTTGGAGTCACAGGGGTGCTTCTGAGAACCTTTCCCCCCTCGCCCTACCCCCCCTCCTGCGCGCCGCCCATGCTTGACCTGCGCAACTGAAAGGGGGTCCCCCCCCGCCCTCATCCTTGCATGGTGAGCAGGAACGGCCGCCGGGCGCGGTCGCTCGATCGCGCGCGGGGCGGGCGGGGCCCGTGACACCGCGGAGAGGGGCCGGCCGCGGGCTCACACGATGGCGGAGCTGGCCGCCTTCTTCAGCACCTTCTTCTCGGAGGGCGACGCGTCGTCGTCCTCGATCTTGTAGTCCTCGCCTCGGGCCGCCAGACAGCAGCAGAGAGTCGAGTATGGGATCGATCACAGAATTGATTTGCCCCGACATCAATTAGCTCGTCGAATCTACACAACAAGTACGTGGAAGGCTCCGTGGAACACTCTACGCAGTCGCCCGTAGATCCGACGGAAAACCAATTTTGGGGCACCTCAGGTCTGCCGTCGACCCCCTGCTCGCGGGAAGAGGGGGCAGGCGAACGAAACGGCGCGAGCGAGAACGACGAAGGGACTGGTAGAGGGAGGGCGCCGGGCGGCCGTGAGCCTGCGCGCGGCAGCGGCCCGGGGCCAGGTGCTTCCCAGAAGGACGCAGGGCGTCCTCGTCGTCGTCGTCGGCGCCGCCGTCGCCGTCATCGTCGTCGTCGTGGTCGTCGTCGTCGTCGTCCTCGTCATTGTCGTCGCCCTCGTCGTCGTCGTCGTCGGCGTCCTCGTCGTCGTCAACGGGGCCGGCGTCGTCGTCCTCGCCAGCGCGAGGGGCGAGGTGCTTTCTCCGCTCGCCGAGGCGCGCGCGGGGCCGGAAGTCGAGGATCGAGGCGCGAGGGCTTCGGGCGCGTTTTTGCGCCGCCCTGGGGGCCTTCAGGAACATAGGCCTCGTGGATGGATGGGGCTCCGGGCAGGTGGGATCGGAGGATCGCGCCGCATCGCCGATGCATCGGCGCCGTCGGCGTAGAGAGAATCGGGCTCCGCGGCGAGCGGGGGAAGGAAGGGAGAAGGAGAAGGCCTTCTTGGACGGCGGCGGGACTTCTCAAAAGCCCTCGCGCCTTCTGCGAAGCTTTCTGTGTCTTCGGGAAAGGCTTAGAAAACTTCCCAGAAGGCCCGGGTGGCTTCCGAGCCTTCTGAGAAGGCCAGCCCCTTCTCGCTTCCCCCCCTCGCTCGCCGCCGAGCATTGGCGATGTGGCGCGACCCTCCGAACCCATCCGCTCCGACCCCACCTGGGAGGCTTGCAAGGAAGCCTCTCGCCACCGCGGCCGGATTCCCCCTCGGAGCTCTGGCGACGACGCGCCCCCGGGAGGAGCCACGGGCCGCTTTGTTTTCCAGAAGGCGAGGGGCCGAGGCCTCTGGCGGGCAGCTCGTTGCGACCCTGGCGCTTTTTAGGCGGGAACGGGTTGATCCTCGAGAAGGGCATCAAGAAGGGAGGGGCTCCGAGGAGTCCAGGTTCGAGGATCGGTCGAGGTTCTTGGATGCTTGTGGCTCCTGTTCCCAGCCCTCCTGCGTCGGGTTCTCGTCTGGAGCTCCAGGTCCACCAGGAAACTATCCGGCACGAAGGGCCGGAGAAGAGCCCTGGGGCTCATAGATTGAACCCTGTCAATCAGCCACATGGCAGATGCTCTCCCACGATTGGGCCCCCCACGACAACGCCGACAAAACTGAAAACGCAACCGGCTGAGATCACCGCAGGAGCATGCGGAGGCCGCCTGCTGGATTTACATGCGCGGAGGGCCGCTGTGCTCGGCCATACGAGGGCCCAGAACTGGAAAGACATGCGGCCACAGGTGCACGTGTCAAGATCTTGCCCAGGCCAGCCACGCCATGTGTATCCAGCCTCCGACTGGCGTCCAGCACGGTAGCATCATGCCGCATGTGTTACACTTCATGGGTTTCAAAAACTCGCTCTCTGGAGTCCGCGCCAAGCGGGAACGCGTCGTCGATGTGGGAGAGATGATGATGACATCATCGGGTGCGTATAACCCAGAATCTCTGAGAACCGCAGCGTTTGGAGGATGAATCGGGTGCAACGGTTCCAAAGGGCTCTGGAACGCCGCGGGACCGTTCTGGAATGAACTTGCGCAACAACTCTTACCATGGGCCTGCTGGTGGCATCGGCGACCGGCGAGACGAGAGCGGGGAACGTGAAGCGGGGATCGTGAGGCTCTCTGGCTCCGTGGAGGCCCCTCGAGTCCGGCCGAAACCCCAGCACGTTCCCCGCAAAACGGCCAGCACCCCGAAGATGGTTAAGCTGAGGGGCGTCGATGGGGGGGAGGGGGGAGAACATCGAGCTCGAGTCGGCGATAAGCTCTCGATCGCAAATCCACACATTCTTGGTCGGGGTGGACTATCGGGCCCCTATCAGAGATCATGAGTCTACCCCCCCTAATGTTGCCCCTGAGCGCCATACTCTGTCACGACCATGCCTGGAACCTCGAAAAAACGAATCCGATGCACGAGAGGACGGAGACGGAGGAGATGTGGCCCTCGGCCTCCCTGTGTCTCGAGCCGTCGAAGCACAACAGTCAGCGCCTCCGCACGTTGCTGCGTGAGCCCATCTGGCCCCTTGGTGCTACCACGAGAGGGCCTCCGCTAATGTCTGCGACTTTTGGTGAACAGGACTCTTGGAATCGTGCCTGGTTTTGACGCCTGCTATGGCCTTGTACTGCCCGTCTCGCTACGCGGCCGATTTGAGCAACTTGACGCTCCACGCCGAGCCCGTGCACCGTCGCTCTGTACCGTTTGCATAGACGCTCGCATTCTCGGTGCACGTGAGGGCTCCGAGCCTGAACGACAGCTGCCATAGACAAAAAACGCGGAGGAAGCTCGCCAGGAACCGGGCGCACTCCACAGGCGGCGGGGAGGGGGAGGTCTGCGCCCGAGCAGCTCAGATGCCGAGGTTGAACGAGACGCCCAGGTTGGCGGGACCGATGCCCTCCACGAAGCTCGCCTCGGAGGTTTGGATATGCGAAATGGGTACAGTCGGACCTAGGAGATAAACATCTCTCCAGAACATCTCTCAAGAACATGAGACTCTCCGCCGGCCAGGCCACACAGAACATGCAAGGGTACCCTCCCCAGGACGCACAAGAACATCCAACAGACACGAAAACCATGAGGGCACCCTCCCCGAACCGACCTCGACCTTATACTTCGGTCCGACTATTCGGAAGCATGGGCACGATGCCCGACAATAGCTGCTGTCCAAAAGCGACAGAGGCCGCTGTTGGGCAGGCGGCCGTGTACCAGCTGGACGACGTCCGCGGCGACACCTGCAGCGAGTCCGCTTCACAATGGACAGGAACTGCTGTCGGCCTTCGTAGTCACTTTTTCTCCGCAGGCGACAACAATTTCGGTCGTAACGACGGACGCCGGCCACCCTCTCTCGCGCACCCATCCCATGGTCAGGGCCACCGCAGGGGCCCGGCCCCTGCGGCTCTCCCAGCCTGGGGCGCCGGCAGGTTGCAAGCCCCCACCGATCCTGGGCCCCGCCTTGACATAAATAGAAACTTTCGGAGGTTCACGCGGGTTGGATCACAAGATGGCGTTTTGCTTTTAGACTCTGGTGAATTCGGTCGCATGGCATTTCCCCTCTCCCCTCCTCTCCCCCCTCCGCCGCCTTTCCAAGCAGCGCTGATCCGAAAAGGGGTGCAAGTCAGTCCTGGCTTGCCTGAAGTCCAGATTTCCTTGCAAGCCTTGCCAGAGAGTCGGCCCCCGAGAGCCTCCCGAAGAGACCTCGGATTCCTGGACTCGGACTCGGGAGGAAGGGACGCAGACCCCAGAGACCCAGAAGAGACCCGCAGACCAGGGAGAGACCCGCCTCTCCGAGAGCATCCCGAAGAGACTCCGGATTCCCGATGCACTCCGAGTCCGTGCAGGTTCTCGCGGCCCGCGAGAGCCTCCAGAGGAGACCCCAAGAAGCATCCCTGAGGACTCTGGCCCACGTCGGCGTCGTCGGCGTCGTCGTCGCCACCGCCGTTGACGTCGTCGTCGTCGTCGTCGTCGTCGTCGTCGTCGTCGTCGTCGTCGTCGTCGTCCCCCTTCAGGGTCAGCGGAACCAGCCGTAATTTTCCTCGCAATCATACAATGCGGGGCACACGCGTTGATCTAAAACGTGTGTCGTATCATAACCCCGAGCAAACAGTAGCAAGCGGGCAAGACTCGAGCACACATGTCAAACGCCTTCCAAGACCATTTGCTTCCTCAGAAATCTACACTGCACGTATCAAACAACATCACATTGGTGATCCACGGCGAATGTTCAAGACTTGTATGCGCGATCTCGCTGAAATCAAAAGAAGACCACTCTTTATCTTCGCCTCTCAGTCCAACAACGAGCATCCAGGCATCACGCGCGCGCATGTCGATGTCATCTAGCATTCACTTCACGGCGCACCCACCAAGTCTGTCAAACAAACCACGCTGGCCACACGCGCGCGCGCGTCCGTGCGCGCACACAGGAATTTTTACAACGCGTTCGTTTCGAAGCGTTTCAACATAGTTGTGTGCAAGGACACATGAAAAACCCGATAGTTGTTTCTAACAGCTGCAGTTTTTGCACGCGTGCAATTCATCATCATTCTCATCAGTGCCATTGTCATTACCACCGCCAGCGTCTCCGTTGCCATTACAATCATCGTCCCCATCACCAATCACCACCGTCACCATCACCATCACCATCATCATCATCATCATCATCATCATCATCATCATCACCATCACCATCACCATCACCATCACCATCACCATCACCATCACCATCATCTTCACCACCATCATCATCATCATCATCATCATCATCATCATCATCATCACCATCATCATTATCACCATCGTCATATTTGTCGTGGTTGTCGTTGCCCTCGTTATTGTTGTTATCTCCATTACGCTCAACATCGTTAACGTCGCCGGTGTCGTCGTCACCATGATCACCCGCACGCCCGGATCATGGATCTACATGAGTAGGGCCCGCGCGTCATTGCGCCTTGTAAGATGTGCGAGCATGTTCTGATGGGTAGCTGCACTCACGGCCTCTCGAGTTTGGCCAGCGGGTCACAGGTGGGTGGGTGGGATGGTGGTCACACGCGGATGCCCACGATTCACTGCATATCATCGATTGCAGCACCGCAGAAAATGACATCGACAAGGGAATAATCCACTCATTGGGGTCAACGCTGGCAAAACCTGTTGCTGTTGACAATCGCCTGCGAGCTCGTAGGGTCTTTTTCTGGCGTGAGGTTCAGCTCGATGTTCGCGCGCCCTTGCTCGTAGCGGCCGGCGATCTGCAAGGGAGTCTTCGGGATCTTGTACGAGGTGGACAGGACCCACGGACTTCCGCCGGACCTGGCGCCAGCAACCTGAGTGGGAGGAGGATGCAGGAGGACGAGGCGGGATGATGGAGAGCAGGAAGAATGGACGAAGAGGAGGGAGCAGAAGAGGGAACAGCAGGAACAAGAGGAGATGAGAAGCAGGAGAGAAGGTCTCGAGGCTTTGGTGGTGGCTATCGGAGGAGGAAGGAGGTTGAGGAGGAGGCAAGCAGGACTTCGCACAAGGACCAAGCCTGGGCATGGTCCTGAGCCTGGGATTGGTGAGTCGCCAGTAGCCATGTCTCGCCACAAGTCATGAAGACTAGCACATCACAATTCCTCCTGCCTCCATCCTCCTGCCTCATTCCCCCTCTCCTCCTCTTGCCTTCTTCCTGCTCCCTCCTCGTACCTCCTCCTCCGTCTTCCCTCCTTCCTCCTGCTTCTTCTCCTCTTTCTCCTCCCTCCTCCTCCTCCTCCTCGTCCTCCTCCTCCTCCTCTTCCTCCTCATCCTCCTCCTACCCCTTCATTATCCTCCTTCTGTATCGCCACCTGCCCCTCCCTTCCTCCCCCCACTCATCCCTCTCGTTCTGTCCTCCTCCTCCTCCTCCTCCTCCTTCGCCTCCGTCCCTCCCACCTCCCTCTTCTCCTCACCTTCATTCTCGCCCATTACTTTCGCCTTCCTCTCTCTCCATTCTTCTCCCCGTGCTCACCCCTCTCGTTCTCTCTTCCTTCTCATCCGCCGCATCCTCAGGAGGAGGAGGAAGAGAAGAGAAGGGGAAGGAGGAGGAGGATGAGGATGAGGAGGAGGAGAAGGAGGAGAAGGAGGAGGAGGAGGAAGAGGAGGAGGGGAGGAGGAGGAAAAGGAGGAGAAGGAGGTGGTATGTGGAGGGGGAGGAATAGAGAATAGGGGTGTGGAGGGGGAGGAAGAGGGTTGTGGAGGGGGATGTGGAGATGTCGAACCCCCTCCATCCTCCCCCTGTCGCGTTGGCGGGCCCAGTCGGTAACGATGGGCCCCCCCCCCCATGTGGGCACTGATTGACGCAAGCGGACTCGGCGCGCCCTCCGAAAGCCTTTGCCTTCGCCTTGCCTCCTCACCTTCGCCTCCCCCCTTCCCATCCTCCTCTTGATCCTCCTCTTGATCCTCCTCTTGATCCTCCTCTTGATCCTCCTCCTCCTCCTCCTCCTCCTCCCTCCTCCTCCCCCTCCTCCTCTTCCTCCCCCCCTCCTCCTCATCCCCTGCTAGAGGGAGGGCTTCTTGGAAGGCAAGCGGGCCTCCAAGAGGCAGGGCACACTTGATCCTCCTCCTCCTCCTCTTCCTCCTCCTCCTCCTCCTCCTCCTCTTCCTCTTGATCCTCCTTCTCGAGGTCTGAGTTCCCCGAGGCCTTCTGCTGCAACTGTTCCATCTGGCCCTGCAGCTTGCCGATCACACCCAACGTGGCCTGCTGCAAACGTGCCGCCCTCGCCTGCTCTTCCGCGATAGCTGCCTTGAGGGTTAGGGGAGCGTCGTCGTCGTATTCCTCCTCCTCCTCCTCCTCCTCCTCCTCGCCGTTCGCCTCTTTCCTTGCTTCCTGACTTCCTCCACTCCTTCTAAGGTCCGCCTGCCAGGCCGCCCCTTCTGGTCCCGCCCGACCCGCCCACGCGTCAGCGAAACCAGCCCACAGCCCAACCCGCCCCAGCAAAACCGACTGCCGGCAGAACGCGCCGCAGCGAAACCGATCCCAGCGGAACCGACCGCCTGCGGAACCGCCGGCGAAGCCGCCGACGGCCCGCGCCGTGCACGAACCACGGCGCGGGAGGTCTGGGGAGAGGGCTGGGGCGGAGAGCGCCGCACCAACTGTCCCAGATCTCCAGTGGTATGGTTCTTCAATCCTGGCATGCCTCGTTGATTTCGGCACCGGGGGGGAGTTTCTGGGCACCGGGGTGCAACAAGATTTGGAGCCAGGGAGAAAAATCACCCCCGTGGAAGTGGTCGGGACCTCTGCGGCCGCAACTGGGAAACATCAGGATCGGCGGAGAGACGCGAGACGCAGTCCCAGGTCAAGACATCGGGACGGCAATCATGGAGCGCTCAGCCAAGAAAACCACGGGGGGGGCGTTATTGATTGTTCGTTCGCCAGGCGTCTTCCGGTTCAACCTTTACATGTCGATGTGCACTGCGAGGCGCGAGTAGGGCATTGCGCCCGCTCGCGTGAAGAGTGCCCATTCTGGGAGATCTCCCGACACAATCAGGCCACCCCCGCGCCCCCCTAGACTCCGAACACAAGACTTTTGCGCTCGGGCCTGGGACCGCGGGGTCGTCCCCAATCAATGAAACTATATGTTCAAAGCGGGGTACCGCAAACTTGCGACGTGCAAAACAATGGGGAGGCGTTCAAAGTCCCGCGCCGTTGCGAAAGAGGTTCTGCATAGTCCCAAGTCCCGCGCCGCATCGCCGCGAAGTTTTTAAAACGCTGATGAAGGGCCATCGAAGATCCTTCCATCATCGTCGACATTTCACATCATCCTTGTCGCTTTATTGCCGTGAGCTTCCATATCAGCTTGCTCGGCTTGGTTCTTCTTAGGGACGCCCTGGCTGTTTTTTGTTTGTCAATCTCGTTTTGTACTTCGGGCTAGTGGCAAGCAAACAACGCTAACACAAACACGTTACTTGTTTTTAGCGTTGCTCACTGCCTTTCTGCTGGGCGTGCTCATGCCCGTCGATGTGGACACTTATTTATTAATCGCGATTTTCGCTGTCTTGTCAACGGCTGCTTCTTTGTCTTCACTGCCGTCTTCGCTCCCGCTCTCCAGTTCCTGCCGTCTCCCGTCGCTCCCGCTCCGCGCGCGGAGCGCAAAACTAAACATGCCGACAGAACTGCCGAACGCTGGTCTAACACCAGCGCGGAACAGGCCTGGAGGCCTCGCGACCAGCCGGCAGCGACGACCGGAGAAGAGCAACCATTCTTGTAATACAACTATACGGGGGGACTGGGCGCCAGGAGACCTGAGGACGTGGTAGACCGCAATGTGAAACAGCGCATTCAAGTTTTCCGAGAGCGCGAAAGAAACAGTTCGAGACGCACACGTAGATCGTGTCGTGTCCGTTTTTTTGTTTTGTTTCATTGATTCTTGTGGGGACCTGACGGCGCCAACACATGACTTCCAACACGCCGAGTTAAAAACGTAAAACAAACGCATGTCACACATGTTTCCCTTTTGCGTCTGGCACCCGTGACTCTTGCGCTGCCTTCCTGGATGGATTGTCGGCAGGGTTCTCCAATGCTCTGCGCTAAGAAGGACGCGCGTCGTCGCCATTTTCATTGCGGCGTCCGCATCCGTTCCAGCTCCCACGACGCAGGCGCCACTGGGGCTCGCGTGGGAACACAGGCGTGGTCGAGCCAAAACAGTGGCGGCACTGGCCAATGGCTATGGAACCCAGCTCGCCGATGCTTTCGGATCCCCAGCGGGGGGCAAACAAATCGAGAGCAGAAGCCTCCCCCTGTCTGATTGAGGCAGGGGATGGTTAATCTTTCGATTTACCTGTTCGCCTTTTTCCGAACATGTCGCGGTTTAGCCAGGCGGCGGCGACGGTTGCTTATACGACTGCGAGTGGGAGTATCAATCATAGGAAAGCGTTAATGCATCACTGCCCATCCGTGCACCTGGTCGTTCTTGCTTGTTCCTGGCCCCTCGACCCCTGATGGCCCGAGGAGAACACACACATGGAATCCAAAGAGGATCGTGGAGCCCCGAATCCCCCCTGCAAGGCTCAGGGATGCACGGGGCGCACCAGGGTGCAAACAGCTCCCCGTGGCAGCTTCCAGGGGTTTGGAATCCTTCGCCCTCTCCTGCCCCCCGCGCCCTCCCTTGACGGCGCGCGAAAAGAGGGGGGGGGGGGCAGGGCGAGGGGAGCCTGCCTTCATTCAAGTACGCCCTGCCTCTTGGAGGCCCGCCTGCCTTCTAAGAAGCCCTCCTGCAAGCCCCTAGCAGGGGATGATGATGATGAGGATGAGGATGAGGATGAGGATGAGGATGAGGAGGAGGAGGAGGAGGAGGATCGAGGGGAGTCGAGAAGACGCAGGAGGGCGCCCCCCTCGCCCCGCCGCCCCTGACATCCGCTGGCGCGACTTGTTCTATCCCCTCGCGGCCACAGAGACGTCCCAACCGCTCCCCCCCGAGGGGGTCAGCTTCTCATCTCGGCTCCGTTGGTGGTGGCCCCGGGCCCCGGAAACGGCCCCCCCCAGGGAGAGGCCGTCTTGTTTCCCGCGTTCTGGTGCGTTGGCTTGCATGGAGAGGGGGGGGGAAGGGCGCGGCGAGGCCGAAAAGGGAATCCGGACTTCGCGCAAGGTGGGACTCGCTTGCGCGCCTCTTCGGCCTAGGACTGCTTGAAGAAGGTGGCGGAGAGAGGGGGGGGGGAGAGGGGGGAGGGAAACGCATGGAAATGCCATGCAAGTCAATTCGCCTGAGTCTGAAGAAAAACGCACTCACATCGGTCACTCCCGATTGGTCAATTTGGAGCGCAACGAATCGCGACCAAAAACCTGATATCAAATGACCCGTGGAGGTCGAGCTCGGGGAAAACGCCGGGATTGAAACAATCACGTCGTCGGGGATCTGGGCTCCTTCCGCGCGCAGCCAGCTCCCCGCCCCGGTGCCTTCTGCCTGCTCGCGGCCTCCAAGGACGCCCCGAGGTGGCCGCACTCGAGGTCGAGGTTCCTACAGGAAAAAGTGCGGTGTAAACATAAACTTTCGACGGCCTGCGCGGATTTCTTCGATCTGCGCTGGGCCCTCCTCTCTGGCGCGTGGAGCGCGCCGGGGGCGGTGCCGGAGGCGCCGCCAGGGGATTCCAGCGCAGATCCGAGAAATCCGCGCGACCCCCGGACATTTATGCTTATGTCCTCGTTGGTTCCCCGAGTTCCAGCCGCCGCCCGGCCGCACCAGACCCCGGGCCTCCGCCCTGAACTGCTTGTCGGCGAGCAGCACGGCGTTGCCTGCAGCCATCGTGCTGCCAAGGGGAGCGCATAAGAAGGAACGACGGGGCTTTTCTGGCCACGGCGGGCCTCGGGCATCAACGGGCTCCCCGACACGAGTCTGAGGAGCGGCCCGAAAACCCGAGCCCCTCCCAGGCCCAGAGCGGTCCTCGGTCCAGCGTCCTCACCGTGGGGGGCTCGCACGCGCGACTCGCCGGCTTTTTCCGCCCAGAGGGCAGTGCAGCACGCGAGCGGGAGCTGGTTGTCAGAAGCTGCGGAGGATGCTGAAGGCATTCGTATGATCTTCATGTGTTCCCCATATCCTAAGATGGGGTTCTTGTTATTACTTGGACGCCTCCTACTCCTCCTTCTTCCTCTTCTCCTCCCCTCTCCTCCTCATACCCAGACTTACTTCTACACAGACTGACTCACACTCAGACTTACTCAGACACAGACTTACTCACACACAAAATTACTCATACTCAGACCTGCTCATAGTCAGACCTACTCCGACTCAGACTTACTCGTGGTGAGACTCACGCACGCCCCGTTCGCGGCTGTTTTAAGCGGTTTGCCGGTTTTCTGTCCCAAAATCCTTCGCTTTCGGAGCACATTTGGAGGATGTCTCGAGCGAGGCGCTCATTTTCCTTCCCCTAAGGGGAGCCGCCAGGGGTTATTCCCCACATGCTTCGTGGGGTTATTGTTTTCTTCTCTGCCGCGTCCCACCCGCGCTCACTCACTCACCTCCCTCTTCCCCTCCTCCTGACAGCACTGCTCAGCACAGCACAGCACAGCTCAGCTCAGCTCAGCTTAGCACAGCTCAGCACAGCACAGCTCAGCACAGCAGTCGCCTGCCCGTCGGTACAGCACAGCACAGCACAGCACAGCACAACTTACCCAATACGTATGCACCACATACTTGGCACCCACATGAGACACGCATCCAGATACGGCCGCACACGCATCATACACATACACATGACACGCCATACACAACACGCACGTGTAGGATGCGCAGGACACGGCAGGCATGGTCTTTTCTCGACACCAGAGGGAGTGCGTTGGGGGTGGTCCCTGAGCGCCTGCGTTACAAGCGACCTGTGCGTGGCGCTTTCTCGACACCATAGGGGGTGCGCAGGGGGTGGTCCCTCACCGCGGTCTCTATCCGTCCCAAGGTCGCGGGGCGTGGCGGGCGTGGTACTTTCTCCACGCCACACGGGGTGCGCAAAAGGGGGTCCCTCACCGCGGTCTCTATCCGTCCCGGGGTCGCGGGGCGTGGCAGGCGTGGCACTTTCTCGACACCACAAGGGGTGCGCAGGGGGTGGTCCCTCACCGCGGTCTCTATCCGTCCCAGGGTCGCGGGGCGTGGCGGGCGTGGCACTTCCTCCACACCATGGGGGGTGCGCAGGGGGTGGCCCTTCATCGCGGTCTCTATCCGTCCCAGGGTCGCGGGGCGTGGCGGGCGTGGCGCCTCCTTCTCGACACCATAAAGGGGGTGCGCAGGGGGTGGTCCCTCACCGCGGTCTCTATCCGTCCCAGGGTCGCGGGGCGTGGCGGGCGTGGTACTTTCTCCACGCCACACGGGGTGCGCAAGGGGTGGTCCCTCACCGCGGTCTCTATCCGTCCCAGGGTCGCGGGGCGTGGCGGGCGTGGCACTTTCTCGACACCACAGGGGGTGCGTAGGGGGTGGTCCCTCACTGCGGTCTGTATCATTCACAGGGTCGCGGGGTGGCGGGCGTGGAACTTCCTCCACACCATGGGGGGTGCGCAGGGGGGGGTCCATCACCGCGGTTTCTATCCGTCCCAGGGTCGCGGGGCGTGGCGGGCGTGGCGCCTCCTTCTCGACACCATAAAGGGGGTGCGCAGGGGGTGGTCCCTCACCGCGGTCTCTATCCGTCCCAGGGTCGCGGGGCGTGGCGGGCGTGGTGCTTTCTCCACGCCGCACGGGGTGCGCAAGGGGTGGTCCCTCACCGCGGTCTCTATCCGTCCCAGGGTCGCGGGGCGTGGCGGGCGTGGCACTTTCTCGACACCAGAGGGGGTGCGTAGGTGGTGGTCCCTCGCTGCGGTTTGTATCCGTCCCAGGGTCGCGGGGCGTGGCGGGCGTGGCATTTTCTCCACACCCTAGGGGGGGCGCAGGGGGTGGTCCTTCACCGCGGTCTCTATCCGTCCCAGGGTCGCGTGGCGTGGCGGGCGTGGCACTTCCTTCACACCATAGGGGGGGCGCAAGGGTTGGTCCCTGAGCGCGGCCGCTATCCGAGCGGGTCGTCCAGGGCATAACAGGCGTGGCAATTTCTCGACACCGTAGGGGGTGCGCATGGGGGTGGTCCCTGAGCGCGGCCGCTATCCGAGCGGGTTGTCCAGAGCATAGCAGGCGTGGCACTTCCTCGGCACCAGAGGGGGTGCGCAGGAGGTGGTCCCTGAGCGCGGCCGCTATGCGCGCTGGTCGTCCAGGGCATAGCAGGCGTGGCACTTTCTCGACACCAGATGGGGGTGCGCAGGGGGTGGTCCCTCAGCGCGGCCGCTATCCGAGCCGGTCGTCCAGGGCATAGCAGGCGTGGCACTTTCTCGACACCAGAAGGGGTGCGCAGGGGGTGGTCCCTAAGCGCGGCCGCTATCCGAGACGGTCGTCCAGGGCATAACAGGCGTGGCACTTTCTCGGCACCATAGGGGATGCGCAGGGGGTGGTCCCTCAGCGCGGCCGCTATCCGAGCCGCTTGTCCAGGGCATAGCAGGCGTGGCACTTTCTCGACACCATAGGGGGTGCGCAGAGGGTGGGAACGGCCACCAACATCATTCTCACATGCTTCACTTCAGCTATCACCACTCCAGCCATAATATAAGTATGTGGGGTTCCTCGGTAGCGTAATCTCACGGTCCCGTTCGCGGCCGTTTTGTAGGGATGTCTCAAGCGGTTTGCCTGTTTTCTGTCCCAACATCCTTCGCTTTCGGAGCAGATTTGGAGGATGTCTCGAGCGAAGCGCTCATTTCCCTCCCCCCTAAAGGGAGCCGCCAGGGGTTATCTCACGGTGCCGTTCGCGGGTGTTTTTTGGGGATGTCTCAAGCGGTTTGCCTGTTTTCGGACCCAACATGCTTCGCTTTCGGAGCAGATTTGGAGGATGTCTCGAGCGAGGCGCTCATTTTCACCCCCCAGGTGGGCCAGATTTTGAGGATGTCTTGATCGGTGGCAAAGCTCGTGGGCGCAGATTCTCTTAGGATGCCACAGGAGGCTCCAACAGGCTCCAGGAGGCCCAAGGAGACCAATGAGGTCCCAGGAGGCATCAGGAGGCCACAGAAAGACTCAAGAGGCCACAGGATGTCCCAAGAGGCTCTAGGAGGCCCCAGGAAGCTCTGGGAGGCCTCAGGAAGCCACAGGAGGCCCCAGGAGGCCAGAGGAAGCGCCAGGAGGCCTCGGAAGGCAACAGGAGGCCCCGAGAGGCCCCAGGAGCAGGAGGCCTCAGAAGGCAATAGGAGTGGCTCCAATCCCATGTGTTTTACGTATGCTCCTATAGATTGGGCCTCACCTGGAGCATGAATCCTTGATGTTATACGTATGTTTCTATAGATTGTCCTTCTCCTGTGTACTTATGTTCCTGTAGGGCCTCTCCTGGGGCACGAGTCCTTGGTGTTTTATGTGTGTTCCTATAGATTGACCCCTTCTCCTGTGGCTCCAATCCGCAATGTTTTATGTACGTCAGTTGCTATATATTGGGCCTCTCCTGGGGCACGAATCCTCCCCAGGAGGTCCCAGGAGGCCCCAAGAGGCTCCTGGAGGCCCAGGAAGCCCCAGTAGGTTTCCGGAGGCCCCAGGAGGCCCCAGGAGGACCCAGGCTCATGAGCAGAGACGCGCTCGTACTACTGAGGCTCATTCACACTCCAATTCATTCTCAGTTAGATCCATGACCAGACCGTCACAACTGAAGCCCGTTTACATTCAAAAGCTCTTGCGCCTAGACATTCACGGCGGACAGGTCCACGCGAATAGATGCACATATGGGGAGCTCCACGCAGTGAATAATTCTCTGCTCACGCGCCCGTCTGGTGCAAGGCTCTGACCTGACCTGAGATACGCGACAGCGTATACGACGCCACGAGTCTGCAATCTGATGCACGGCTGCGTCTGACAAGTGGGCACAGACAAAGCCAGTAAGGAGAGGCTCTTGAGTCTCCCTCCGTCGCCTCAAACAAGCACGCGGCGCGTGCGTAAATGATTCCCCCACTCCGCAAGCCGTGGCCAGCCAAGCAAGGGTGAGCAAGACAACGCTGGGCATCAAGGGAGTTGCTTGAGTGCCACCGGAGCCGCCCGAGCACTGACCTGACCAATCGGTTGTGGAATTGCGGCCTTACGGCCACAGCGAGTCAGGTCAGTACTCGGGCCTCCTCGTCATCACCTGGAAGGACTCGGCCGACCCGAACGCTGACCAGACCTTTTCTGGATCCCGAACTGCCGTTCCCGACGATCTCCGCGCTCGCGTCCGCCTTCTGGCGCATCAGGGCCGCCTGGGGGCCGCGCCCCGCAACGAGAACGGCGTCAATGGTCGAAGATGAGAAAACGTCATACGTATTATCTTTCAGAGCCCCGCGCGGACTTCTTGGATCTGCACTGGGCCCCCCCCTGGCGGCGCCTCTGGCACCGCCCCTGGGGCGCGCTCCGCGCGCCAGGGAGGGGGGCCCAGCGGACCTAGAAAACCGCACGGGGCTCCGAACATTCATGTTCATGTGATTTGTTCTTCGACTGTTGGCGCGCCCGGAAGGGAGAAGGCGTCGACGGGGACGACGCTCACCAGCGGCTGTTGACCGAAATTGCAAGCGACTGCCGTTAGGGAGACAACTTTCGCCACTAAGTCAGAGACGGACCACGATCGCCTTGACACCGGCCGCGAATCCTGCCCACGACGGGCAGGAGCTGCTGCCAGCCATCCTCCCCAGCCTTTCGGTCCAACTGGCACGGTCTGGAGCTGCGCGCAGACAATCCCCAGAAGCAGCCCACACGGACCTCGACGTGCCCCCAAGGTAGCCTGCGGCGGCCTCGACATCCCCAACCCTGAGCGCGGAGATTCATGGGCGCGCTGCCGGAGAGCCGCGCCGGGGTGCTGGGGTGATCGCCCTTGACCCTTACGCGGGGGGGCCTGCTGTGGCCAGCCGGGGCCGTCTCCAGGGGCCGTCTGTGAGCAACCCCAGGCTCCTCCGCCCACCTCCCTCCTCCCTCCGCTGTGAACTTCTTAGCCCGCGGACCCAGAATCCCCGACCCCTTCTCCCTGTAGCTTTGAGTCCCGTCACGGATCCTTTCCCGGCGCCCCCGGGGCCCGAAAGCGGCCCCCGAGGGCCGACATCGAAGAGAAGCACCAGGATTGACGAAGATCTGGGGCCAGCCTGACAGAGCAAAAAACTGGGGCCAAACAGAATTCCACGCCGTGATGCCGTCGGCGATCTGGGGCCGAGCTGAAAGAAGGGACAGAACGCGCCGCGGCTGAAAAAGTCGCATCGTCGGAGGTCTGGGACCGTGCCAGCTCCGAGACTTTGGCCCTCCCGGCGCCTGGCGCAGGAAGAGGGGCTTCAGCGCCCCGTCCACCGCCTGCGGGCAAACTCTGTATCCACATCCACGGCGTCCTGGATGTTCCGGGCAAGGATGCCACACATGGACAGAGATCGGGTCTGCTGGGGGCCAGATTTTATTCATTCCATGGTGCGTCTTGGGTTTTCTATCGAGGAACCATTCATGACATAAACATCATGAACTTTCGAAGGTTCACGTGGATTTCTCGGATCGGCGCTTGAACCCCCTTTGCGGCACCTCAGGCGCCGCCCCTCGCGTTTTCCGCGCGCCAGGGATGGGGGGTCCAGCGCCGACCCAAGAAATCAACGCGGACCTCTAAATGTTCAACTCTTGTGCCGTTATATGTTCCTCGATCCTATGGACGGTAGTCCGAACATCCGAGGCGCGGTGGATGTGGATATGAACATCTTGCCCGCGCCGCCTTCTCTAGCTCCGGCGACGCGCCGCCCGACCGCTGCATGGCTCTGTCGACGATGGCCTGCGCCTTCGCGCCGAAGTCTGGCACGACCGCGCCGGCGTCCACCTGACCGACGAAAAGACGCTTCGAGGAACCCTGCTTTTGTTCCCCGAGCGTCCCGGCCTGCACGGCGGGCAGTGGCCCTCAGACTGGCCCCGGCCTGGAACGCGAAGCAGTCGGGACTCCGGGGTCCTGCCAACTCCTGCTTGCGGCGGAGAAGCGGGAGGAGCGGGAGGGGAGGGAGAGGGACCGACGCCGACGCGCCGCGGCTCGACTGCTGCCCGTCGGCGTTTGAAAATGGGTATTTTTCGGTGCCCGAGTCTCGATCTACTTCAGGCGCCCTCCTACTTCAAGCGTGGAGGGGGCGGCAGGGGGCGGCAGGATTGCCCAATCCACTTTCAACGCCTTCCTGCTTCATATTTCTATCCACTTCTTCCGACCGACGGGTACGGTTCAGCTTCGAGGAACAAGCAATCTACATATTCATGAGCTTTCGGAGGTCCGCCTGGATTTCTTGGATCGGTGCTGGCTTCCCCTCTCTGGCGCGCGGAGCGCGCGCCGAGGGGCCAGACCTCTGGGTGTCCACGTCATACAAAAACGACGTCGGGCGTCCTTCTCGGGGCCCCTGCAAAAATCGGAGTCCCCGTAAGTCTGGGGGCACTTCCCGGGAGGTCTGGGGGAGCTCTTCCTCGGGGTCCCTGCAGATCTCGGAACATCTTCGGAGGTCCCCGCGAAAGGCCCTGGAGGCATCAGGGAGCCTCCAGGGGCCCAGAGGGAGGCAAGCACCTGGGTCCTCGATCATCCGCCCTTGGTGGTCAGACTAGCGAAGTGGAACCTGGAAGGTCAACTGTAACGAAGAAGGAGAAGGAAAGGTAATTATGATCACAATGCGGACGCCGCCGCAAGAAACCCTCGCAAGAAACCCGGCCCCTGAAAGCGCGCGCGCGAGATGCACTCGGGGGAAACCCTGAGCACCCTGAACGCAGCAGCTTCTTCAGCGGCCGCAGGAGGTCACCGCGCGGCACGCGGAGCGACGAAACCCGGGGCGCCCTACAAACAAAACACCTGGTTTCTTGATGCGCGCCCCCACTGTACGAAGACCAGCTCGTCGCACGCGCAGACTGGCAGGCGATGATTAGCGTGGCAGCTCGACCCTCAGGCAATGCCAAGGGGCGTCACCAGGGGGGTCGCTGGCTTCTTGAGGAGACAGACCCCCCTGGATCCCCCCAGAACCCTCCAGGACCATACAGTTTCTCCCGTGCAACATTCAGACAAGGAAAATTGGTCAGAGTGAGGGGGCCAAAGGGTCATTCACTGCCCCTGGGTGCGTGGCTGAAGTGGGATTCCGCGATGGGGATTATTGTTTGTTGTTGATGTTTTTGTTGTTGTTGTGGTGGCTGTTGTAGTTGCTGGTGCTGTTGTTGTTGGTGTTCAATGGTATTGCTGTTGTTGTTGTGGTTGTTGTTGCTGTTGCTGCTGTTCTTGTTGTTGGTGCTCAATGTTGTTGCTGTTGTTGGTATTGGTGTTGCTGAGGTTGTTGGTGCTGTTGTTGTAATTGCTGTTGCTGTTGCTGTTGCTGTTGCTGCTGCTGCTGTTGTTGTTGTTAATGTTGTTGTTGTTGTTGTGGTCGTTGTTGTGGTTGTGGTTGTGGTTGTGGTTGTGGTTGTGGTTGTTGTTGTTGTTGTTGCTGTTGCTGTTGCTGTTGCTGTTGCTGTTGTTGCTGTTGTTGTTGTTGATGTTGATGTTGTTGTTGTTGTTGTTGTTGATGTTGTTGAACATTATTACTTCTAAAGAATAATTATTGTTGGGACCCCTGGTACACGACCCCCCTCCAAAACCTAGGCCGCAGCTACATTTTCATTATTTTTTCGCGAAAGCTTCAGAAAAGTGGATTAGTACCGGATCCGGTTGTTTTGTTCCCCCCCGCTTTCCCTTGCAAAAAACACTATAAAATGAAATTTCTTGTTCAAATGTAATCCAATTTCAAGAATCCCTTGCAAAAAATAAGCTAAAGTGGACATTCGCGCGTGCAAGACGAAATCCTTCCAAAACCTTAGGTTTCGGAACGATTTCAACATAAAAACATTAAAAACCCAATGGTTTTTTAAATAAAAAATTGTCAAAATCTCATCCCGCGCGCTCTTGCGGATTCGTAGGAAAACCATCACTTTTTAAACAATTTTGTCAAACGGGCTTTTGCGAGCAACTTTTTCAAACTTCTGCGACAACGGTTGCGCACCTGCCAGGGCCATCATCCCTGTCAAATAATACCATGCGGGACACATTCGTTTTTTCTTCGCGCGCGCACGCCGAAATCTACAAAAACCATTGGGGGTTTAAGAATTTTACCATCGCGCATCATAAAATCACACGAATCGCACCGTAGGTCCTCGAAAAACAGCTGCACGACTTTTCAAAATTTCCACCCGCGCGCGCTGTCCGAATCCTCAAAAAACCAATGGTTTTCCAACATTTATGTTACATGAGCTCGCGCGAGCTACTTTCGCACGCTCTTGCAACGGGGTTCGCGAATCCCTTGCGGTTGCGCCATAGGTTGCGCCCTCGGCCGCCGAGAATAAAACGCCCTCCTATTGGTTGCGCCATAGGTTGCGCCCTCGGCCGCCGAGAATAAAACGCTCCCTACTGGTTGCGCCATACGTTGCCCCAGGAGGCCTTCAAGAGGCCTCAAGAGCCCGCCGTGAGGACCCACTAAGCTCCCAAGAGGCCCCAAGATGCTTCCAAGAAACCCCCCAAAGCTCAAGAGGACCCCAAGCGGCTTCAGGAGGCTTCCCCCCTACCCCAAGAGGACCCCAAGCGGCCCCAGGAAGCCTCCGACTGATCACTGTCACATCCGTAGCCATCTCGGATCAAGGTATCGCCTGTGTTCTTGGCTGGGTCATGGCTTTGTCGGCGAAAGCTCTTGACGACCAGTATGGCCCAGAGCTGTCGCGGCCTCCCTTGGCTGACTGCGGCAGCCCGTATTATTTGCATCAGGCGCTCGTTGCAAAGGGTATCCAGGTCAGTCACCAGGCGTGCAAGCTTTGGTGGTGCAAGTATCGGGTTGTGCCTGGCACGGTCAGTATTTCTAGCGCCACGGAGCTGGAGGAGCATCACGGCTCTGCCATCCGCCACCTGGGCATCGAGTATAATACAGCTTTTAAATTATGCGGGGCGCTCCGACAGTTGGATCCACCACTGTATGTGTCAAATAAGGTCGCAACGACGTGGTTACTGCAGTATTCTTCCAAAGAGACGCTTGTCAAAGTGCAGAACGCTGGCCATCTGGAGACCTGGTATGGAGAACGTATTCGCACAGACATGCCCGAGGGGACTACTGACGGGGCCGTCTTGAAGCAGTGGCTCCTGGGACATTTATCTGTATCTGCTGACGCCAGGGTATGTCAGAAGTGGCTCAGCACGGACTGGGGCGCCAAGGGAGCATTGAATACTGCCCAAGCTGTGGAGGAATGTATAGGCCAGCGTCTTCGACTCAATCAGTATCGGGAGAGCTTTGCCGACGAGGCCGCCGCGGAGGTCCTCTCGCAGATGCTCTCGGAGAGCGACCCTCCCGTCGCTGTCAGCGGTATGGTTTTGAGGCAATGGTACGTGAAGTATCACCCTGACTCCGGACCTTTGCAGTATGACACGGCTGACAAGCTCGACGCGGCACTTGGTGACCACATGCGCGCGGTATATCCAGGGCTGAAGTACCACACCTTGCATACCGTGTTGCGTATGCGTATGCGACTGGACCTGTTTGCGAAAGCAGGAGAAAGTATGAGCATTGCATGCGTCATCCTTGGGACTGTATAACAGCAGAAACAGACAACATTGCATCGCAGACGGACAGCCATCGGGACAACCATCGGGACAACCATCGGGACAACCATTTGGACCAGCATCGGGAAAACGATCGGGACAACCATAACCATCAGGACAACCATCGGGGCAACCATCGAGACAACCATCGGGACAACGATACCTTCTCTCTTGTGTCCTCCCACATCCCTCAGGAAGTTGCCCTAAAGATGTGACCGACTCCTCTCTCTCCTTCTCTATGTCTCTCGCTCTTTCTCTGCTTCATATCTATCATATGAACACATCTATCTCGCTTTCTGCTTCATCGCCTTCCCAGGAAATTGCCCCAAAAATGTGACCAACTATCTTGGCAGTGCGTACCATCTCACGTGTACCGTGTACCACATCTTCTCAGGTTGCCTCACACATGTGACGAATCTCTTTCTATCTCTCTCTCCTCTGGCTCTCTGTCTTGCTCTCTCTCTCTCTCTCTGTCTCTCTGTCTTGCTCTCTCTCTCTCTCTGTCTTGCTCTCTCTATGTCATGCGCAACGAATGCACGATGCGGGGCACATGCGGGGCCCAAACAAGTGATCAACCTCTGCGGGTGTGTACTCCACGCCAGTGTAGTATCCACGATCGTCCGCGCGCCACGAAGTGAAGTGTCCTGACGTCATAGGGCGGGAAGCTGGGTGTGGGTGGTTCCCGAGAGTCGTGTGGATGTTTGGTAGAGCTTGCATTGCCCCCCCACGAAGTGGGGGTATTGGCTGGCGTCGCATGAAAACCCTGGCACTGGGGAGAACACTGAGCGTTCGGGTAAAATGATTGTTGTTGTTGTTGTTGTTGTTGTTGTTGTTGTTGTTGTTGTTGTTGTTGTTGTTGTTGTTGTTGTTTGGCGTCGTCCCCGCCTCGACCTGGCCCGCGGCCCACCCACGACCCACCCCGCGACCCGCCCGCGACCCACCCGCGACCCACCCGCCACCCACCCCGCGACCCACCCGCGACTCACACGCGACCCACCCGCGACTCGCACGCGACCCACCCGCGACCCACCCGCGACCCACCCGCCACCCACCCCGCGACCCACCCGCGACCCACCCGCGACCCGTCCCGCGACCCGCCAGCGACCCACCCGCGACCCAACCTGCGCCCCACCCGCGACCCACCCGCGACCCATCCCGTGACCCACCCACATTGCTTTAACGAAAAATCGGCGCCTGCGGCGGGCTTCTTCAGAGCCTCGCAGACTGCAGACGTCCCCGCCGCCCCCTCACTCTTGTCCGCGACTGCGGGGTGCTACGTATGCTTGATCATCCTAAAAACACCCTGGCACAACTCCAGGACCCCCAAAGACCCCCTGAGACGCCCAGAACCTCCTCGATCCTCTTCTCTCTCCCCCCTCGACCCTCGATTTCCAGGAGGGAGTGGTAACCCACTGGTGGTGACCCCCTGTGGCAGAGCCAGCTCGAGGGGTAAGACCTCGGGCAGACAGCATTCCGTGTAGTCCGGGCCTCAACAGGCCAACCGACTAGTTCAGGGAGGTCTCAACACCCCAACCCTGGGGCCCGGAGCGTCCCAGCCAGGGCGCCGCCGGAGGCGGCGCCACGGTGCTGACAATACCCAGGACTACTCGGGGGGCCTGGCCAGGACAACCTGCGGGAGTGTTTGTGCACAACCCGAGGCCTCCCCAAGCTCGATCCTCCGCTATCCTCCAGGGGCAAGCCCCAAAAGCCGACGCTGCACTTGCAACATCGCGAAACATCACAACCCGAGCCCTGGACCCTGGACCCCATCTTTCTGATGCATCTTTCGAGCCAAATCGATCTGTGATGATCTCGGGGCCCGAACGCGGGCGAATGGAAAAACTGCGACACCTGGACCTCAGGGAAGGGCGGGCGCCCCCCCGCCGGCTGCAACTTAACTCGGCCAGGATAACGTCGACCAGGCTGAACTCGGCCAAGCGAAGCTCGGCCAAGCTGCACTCGGCTGGGTGATCTCGGTCAGGCCGAACTCGGCCAAGCTGACCTCGTCCGGGGCCTGGCCGAGTTCGGCTGGACTCCCCGGACCACTCCTGGTGTGCGTTCTGACCAGGATTTCAAGGCGAATCCAGAGGTGGCGGTGGAAACGAGGCAAGGGTAGCGGCATGGTTACCTCCTCCTCCTCCTCTGAAGCTTCACCTGGCTGAGAGTCGTCTCCCCTCTGCCCGCCCTCCCGGGCGGCGCCTGCGCCTTCAGCTCCGCGACCTGCGCCAGCGCCTCCCCCAGGGCGCGCGCCAGCGGCAGCGGCGGCGAGCCCACCGCGGCCTGCCCCGCCACCTGCCATGTGGGAAGCGCTCGCCGACGCCACCGTCGTCGTCGTCGTGGTCCTCGTCGTCGTCGTCGTCGTCGGCATCGTCGGCGTCGTCGTATTGGCCTCGTTCTCGGTCGTCTTCGTCGGGGGGGGAGACGAAGGGGCGAGGACCGAAGGCTGCGAGCTTCGAGCGTGCAGTCCAATCCACGTCGAAAGGGGAGGAAGGCGGGGGGAAAGGTGGAGGGGATGACGAGGCAGGGCGGAAGAAAAAGAAGGGAGGGGGGTGGGAGGGACGGGGAGGGATGGGGAGGGACGGGAGGGGGAGGGGGGAATGGACGGAAGAAAAATAAGGGAGGGGGGTGGGCTGGACGGGAGGGACTGGACGGGATGTGGAGGGACGGAAGAAAAAGAAGGGAGGGGGGTGGAAGGGACGGGGAGGGACAAGGAGGGACGGGGAGGGATGGGAGGGGCAGGGGGGAATGGAGGGAGCCGGCGGAGGGAAGAAGTAGATCGAGCAGGAGATCTGACCTCCCCGGGGGGGAGTTCCGACCACAACTTCGACGGGAATCCAGCAGCGGCGACAGGGAGGCCTGTCGCAGGCACATGCGGGGCCAAGACCGCCCCAACAACCCGAAACTCGACCTTCGAAAGTCTGGGTGGCGAGCAGGTTGGCGGGGGGGGGCGACGGTCCTGGCGGTCGAGCGCTCCCCGGGCCTCAGGAAGGGCCCCAGGAGCCCGAGACTGGCGAGCGACCTGCAGGACCGCTGCCCTTTCGACCCCTTCCCGAAACATCGGAGGTCACGTTTCTCGGGGGACGTGGGCCCCGACCCCTTCCCCACTTTCGTCCCGGACGCATTCTCGATGGCCCCGGGCCCCGAAAACCGCCTCCTCCGGAGGCCGAAATCGAGAGGACAGGGGAATGGGGAGTATGCGTTCTGTTACACCCTTC